TTAAAATCAAAGGATTGTCTCTACGGGAAGGCATTGGAGTTATTGCAGAGATTAAAAATAGTTTATCTCAAAATGAGAATAACGAATATTTACAAAAATTAAAACGACCAGCGCAGATCTCTATTATTTGGGAATATCAAGCAACACTTGATTGTAATTTTTCAATCCTTGAAGTAAACTAATAAAAACAAAATACTAAACTGTATTTAAAATTTTTTTGTTGTTTTTCGATGATATTTGCAAGCATATTTGCTAATGTTTTAGTGCTTATCTCAGTGACTAAAATTGATTTGTTCTTGCTTATTTTCTGCGGCCGTGCGCATGATACACCACACAGTGCCTCTTCCGAAATAAGGTTAGGACGGCTACTTATCCATACAAGCCTCTTCGACGTCCCAAGTTCGAACTTGTGCATACTTACGCGGGCTGCAATGCAACCAACCTTGGGGTACAACTCCACAACAAGCTTTTCAGGCGTTCACCGTTTTTCAGGCTATCTGCGCTCTATTCAGCTATGAGTTTAATATTAGAGCTTGGGCGTCTGAAAAACTGCTACGGAGCTTCAACTTTAACATCCATAGGCCACTATTACTAGCTTTTCATAGTATAAGTAGTAAGTAAGTCTGTTGCCCTCACAAAAATCTCCACACTAACTATTGTGAGGTTATTCCTATGCTGGCATAAATTCAAAAGCTCAAACGCTCACAATTGTCAGAAAATTCATGATGTACGAACGAGACCCTCACAAGAGCAAAACACCTGATTTTTATTGAGCAATTTGAATAATATTTTGTTAATTTTCGTTCGCTATCAGTGTTTAAGTTGATTTATTTAAAATTTAATCCTACAATGATCACGTGGTCTACGATCGTAGACCACTTCTTTTAAAATAGTGCTATCTCTTAATTTTCATTCTTAACCCTTTCACTACTAATGTCCACTGCAGTTGCAAGAGCGGTTATTATAAATTTGAAGTTTTTTAGCATTTACTTTGGTGATAGTGCGAGTATAGAAGTGCAATTTCTGCAAAATGTATTTTATTTTTGCCAGTAATGTACCGACTTTTGAAGGGGAAGGTTGTAAAATATTATTTGGCTTGTTTATTCGAAAATTTTAAATCCTAAATAAGTGTTTGTAAATAATTGTGTAAACGGTGCTTTTTCGCTTACTTTTTGCGCATTGAACGAGTGCAAGCAGAAGTAGATCGAATTTCAGGTAAGTGTTTAAGTACCAAACACCAGATGTCCTTTGTAATGGACATGAGTAGTAAAGAGTTGTAAATTATGAGTAAATAACATGGCTTTCCACGCATAGGGAATCATGCATAGACGCAAAGCGTTGACTGAAAACCAAATGTTAGACCTTCTGAAAGAGTTTTCAGATCTCGACGATGATTCGGGAGGTGATAAAATCGATTCAGTGGAATTTACTAGTAAGAAGCGAATTGAAGATGAGGAGGCTCAAAATTACGACACCAGCACTGAGGAAAATGTGGAGGAACGTGATTTAAGTCCAATAAATGAACTTCCACCAGCTGTTCGTGCCCACGTTACGACCTTTTCAACACCAAAGAGCGAAGATAATGTTGCACAAAATTCATATTTCCCCGTCAGAGTATTGCGTTCAACAGCAGGTGAGAGAGTAAGTACACCAATAGAAGCAGCAGAAGGAAACTATGATTTGGCAAATATTACTGAGAAAATCGATGTTCAGTGGCGCCACTCCCGCAGTAATGAACGAATTGCTGATTTTTTGTTTGTTCCGCCTTTACAGTTGCCTGCAGCAGTCAAAAGTGAATACGAATATTTTAAAAAATATTTACCGCCCCAATTTTTTGAAGATGTTTCCAATTTCACTAATCTGTTAGTGTGCAGAAAGAATCAAATTTTCAGCCAACTAGTCCAAGAGAAATTCGGAAATTCTTCGCTTTACATTGTATGATGGGTATATTGAAGTTTCCACGGGTAGCAATGTTGTAGGAGAAAGGTACAGCATTGCCAATTTTCACTAGTAATATGACAAGAAATCGTTTTTATGCGCTACGAACACATTTGCATTTAGTGGATACTTGCTGCCCCCAAAAAACAATGAGAAATTTCATCAAGGGAGACCAATTATGGATGCGATTTGGAAGCGATTATTGGAGCACCAGTTGGAGGAAACCTTTTGCGTTGACGAACGGACTATACCATTTACAGGGCGCCTGCGAATGGAGCAGTATATACGTGGGAAACCTTGTCCATGGGGAATAAAACTCTATCTGCTTTGTGGAAAAAGTGGAATACCGTATGATTTCATTGCTTATCAGGGCTCATCCACTGAAATTGAACCAAATCTTATCAACAAACTTGGGTTTGGTGCTTCCATCACATTACAGCTGCTAAAAAGAGTGCCCCATGATTCAACTGGTCACCAAGTTTACACAGATAATTTCTCCAACACGTATTCTCTACTTGAAATTTTGGAGAAAAGGAAAATTCTAGCAGCTGACATAATTCGTATAAATAGTTTTCGGAACCCACTTCTCTCCACAGATGCTGTAATGCGAAAGAAAGGTCGCGGTTGTGCTGAACAAGTGGTGAGCCGAGATGGAAGTTATTGTCACAAAATGGTTGGACAACAAAGGAGTTTACTTAGCATTCAACTTTGTGGGAATTGGCATCAAAGACAAATTAGAACGATACGAAAAAAAAAGCGGTATATTGAGATTGATAGACCTGAAGTTGTTCAGCTGTATAATAATGGAATGGGTGCCGCAAATCTTCTTGATCAAATGTTGCAGTATTACCGTATTTTCATAAAATCTAAAAAGTGGACCCTATGGGTTATTATGCATTTCTTTTACATGGCAATAGTGGCGAGTTGGTTCGAGTATAAAGCGGATGCAGATAAAATGATATACCTAGGAAAGACCAAATGGACTTGCTTGCCTTTAGAAATGGATTGGCTAATACTCTTGCAACAATTTCTTCAACATTTCAAAATGAAAACCGACGGAGCCGTTCCTCAAACACCTTTAGCAAAGATGAGCAGCAAGCTCCTAAAAGATTGAAGTACTTCAACCAACCACCAACTTACACGCGGTATGATCAAGTCGGTCACCTACCGAAGTTTGATTATTTACAAAATAATGCAGTTTGCTGCAAGAACTAAAATTTTTTTTACAAATAATAACATAAAAACAGATTTAGTTTTTATTAACCCGTTACTTCAATTGCATTACTGCTTGGGTACAAAAATTAAAATCAAAGGATTGTCTCTACGGGAAGGCATTGGAGTTATTGCA